CGATGCGGGGCTCGATCCCAGGACCCTGGGATCATGACCTGAGCCGAAGGCAGACGCTTAACGGACTAAGCCACCCAGGTGCCCCTATCTTTTTTTTTCTTTTTTAAGATCTTTTTATTTTAGAGAGAGTGAGCACAAGCGGAGGGGCAGAGGGGGAGGGAGAAAGAATCTGAAAGACTCCGAGCTGAGCGCAGAGCCCAATGCGGGGCTCGATCCCAGGGCCCTGAGATCAGGACCTGAGCCAAAACCAAGAGTCAGATGCTTCACCAACTGCGTCACCCAGGCAGAGTGGTGCTGCTTTCACTCCCCGGTCCTGGAGTATGTCGCGAGCACCTCGGCTTGTATTATCTAATTGTATACTTTCAACAACTCGTCCCTTCTAACCTGGGAGAAAACTCACTCTGAGAGGAAATAACTCGTCCAAGGCCCCACAACTAGGAAGTGGAGGTCAGAACCTTATATGCAGGCTCCCTGACGCCACGCCAGTGTCCTTTCCACACACTAGCCACGCACTAGCCACATGTGAACGCATTGGAGACCACCAAAAAATCCAATTTAAAACTGGTCTCTAGGATATTAAATTTGAAAATTGGGAACAATATAAATACATTTCTAGGCCTGGTTCTGAGAACTGAGGAAGTCAGCATGTGCATGTGGGGAGTGACAAGGGTTTCCAAGAAGACCGCCTTTGACCCCAAATGTCTCTCCTCCAGGTCCCTTCCACATCCGGACAGCAGATACCCCCGCCTAGGGTGGAAATGCCAAAGGCTTCTACCCAGGGGCCTCAGCTAACAGGCTAGTGGGACAGAAAAGGGCAGGGAACAAGGACGGGGGGAGCGGAGGGGCAGGTCCTCGGGTGCCGGGTTGGAGGCTGCCACGTGTGTAGATCAGTTTGGGTGGTGACCCCTGGGCACCAGGCGGCCATGAATGGCCTCGGCCCCCTCACCCACCCCCAGAAGGAAGAGGAGTGTGTGTGTCACGACGCAGGGACAGTCAGAATCTCTTCTCTGCACAGACTGTGCTGCTGGCTCACACCACGGCTCCAGGGTGCCTGGAGAAGTCCTACTCGCCTCCTCCAAAGAATGCTGGGTTCTCCTGGGGCCAGTCTCCTGAGAGGACAGGTACAGGTACAGACACCCGTGTCCTGCCCATCCTCCCCCCGGAGGGACCATGTGTCAGTCTGGTGCACTGACAGCGGCCTCTGCATAAAAGCGAATATAGTGGAAACCACAGTCAGATTCTAAACATCCCCGAGGTGGTTATGATCAGATCCCAGTAACTTCCGTGCACCACCTCAAGCTGGATCATCTGCGAAAGGCCCTCCTGAAACACACAGCACCGCCAAGCTCTCTCGTTAGATGATTTATTCAGAGCTCCTCATCTGGTAAGCACCCAAGTTACTCCTCCTTTTAAAGTGGAAGACGTAGCAAGTTCCTTCCAGGAAGCCAAAGGCAAGCTGGGGGAAACCGCCCGTGGGAATCTAAGGAAGGCTGTCTCCATGCTCCAGTGACCTGATCAGGTGTTCCCTGGCATCTGCAGGGAGGGTTGGGACAGACACCTTCCACCCAGCCAGGTCTTCTCCCCATGCCAACCCACAGCAGCGAGCACCACCTCGTCGGGACACCCGGCCTGGGACTCCTTGGGAGTCCCAAGCCTCAGACCTCAGCCTCCTGCCCAGGCACCACAGCTGCCCACCACTTCCACGGGGCCACACCGGGGCCTCTGGGCTCTGGCCCTCCCTGCCACACTCCCCTGCCCCACTCTACTCCTCCTCTCCACCCTCCCTGCCTGCACATCCTGCTCCCAGCTAGTGGGCCAGGCTCGGAGCCCGCACTTTGTGCTCCTGCCCATGGCAGGGCTGGCCAACATTTCACCAGCCTCCCGGAACGTGAACCTCTAGTTGGCTCTCTGTGCCGCTTTATGACCACCGGCTCAGTATGTGAAAGGAAAACGCAAACACCTACATTACTGCGCAGTCATTAAATGCAGCCCTTCCATGTGAAAGTGAACAGAACATAGCTCCTGACCGAACCAGAGACAAGAAACAGGCTCAGCTCTTTTTACCGACAGCAAGCTTTTTTAGACGTGCTGCTAAAAACTCACCATTTCTAGATCTCCATCGGCAACCGCTCTTAAAAGTTTTTCTACCTTAAGTAAAGGAAAAAGAATGTTAGAAAATGATTTTAATAATTAAGCTGTAATAGAAGACCCAGAGGCTCTCATTTGTCTCTTGGTTTGTGGAGTTTTAACACCTCATTCAGCATCTCGCAAGCATATCCCTGAGACTGCCCGGCTAGGCCGTCCAGGAGGGCACCAGCGTGCACTGAACCCATTTCCCCCTGAGGTCTATGGAATGATCTGCTGGTGATGTGGCCAAGCGAGATGCTGGTCACTGCAAATGAAGCACAAGCCAGCCACCCCGGAGATCACACATACTCAGCCCTCATCATCCGATGGCTGAGGGGCACACCAGGAACCATTCCAGGGCTCTCTTAGACTCTGGAATGTGTCTCCGGGCTTTCTCTACTGTGCCTTCGCATCAAGCTAAGCTCATCGGGCCCTCCAAGAGCAGGTCACAGCTTGGGGGTGGCAGGGGACAAATGCCCTGCGCGGAGGCAGTGAGGCTCCCCGCACACAGGGGAGCAGGCAGAGGAGTCGTGGGATGTCCAAGGGATGGTCTGCTCTGCAGGCTGACGCTGGATGAGCTCGCAGACAGGTTAAATGGAGAAGAAAAAAAAAACAGGCTATAAATCACCTTTTACAGAACACAATGTGTTGGCCAGAAGTCAGGGACGATACATCAGGTTGACAGGGATACTTACAGAGCGGGACATAAGTGCTGAGAATTTAGTTTGTAAAATGATCTTAAATCTGTGGACCTACAGGTGACTTTCCTTAGACTTTTCCTAGAAGACTCCCTACTCTGTCCCTCTATGTCACATATACTCACACACACACATACAATCCCTAAAGCAAAGAGCTGCTTCAGGAGCCGAGCACGCAAGCAGCAGGGTGAGAACTCCTGGCTGGGCACCCCCCGGGGTCCCCTGGGCAGCCCTTGTCATGCATGGCTCTTTAACTGGCTGCCTTGACACACGGCCGCCCTCCTGTCCGCCCTCCCACCTGGGAGCCTCACCTCTCTGTAGTCCTTCTTGGGCTCCTTCCGTCTGGAGCTCACCAACACGGAGGAGAAGCTGGAGGTGGAGGAGGCCTGGCTGATGGAGTCCACGGGGCGCTGAGGGAGCTGCACCGGGACCTGTGGCCAGGGGGGCCCCGACAGGAGAAGGGCCTTGTGAGGTCCAGAGAGCAGGCCGGGCTCTCCCAGGGGGCCACCAAGCCCAGCCTCGTTCACTCACCTCTGAAGACTTCCTCCTCCTTTCCAAGGGCAGATGATAGGCTTCCATTATTGACAGAATCTAGGAGAAGGGAACAGGAAGAATACTGAGAAAGGTTGCCAAAGTAGCATCACCCGTAGGCCCGGCCACCTGCCCACCTCCTCCAAAGGTCACGCAGCCTGACCACGCCCCTGGAGAGACAGAGAAACCACAGCCTGAGCGGGCAGGAGCTCACCCAGGATCACACAGATTAAGTGGGGGCTTCCTGCTGCCTCTCACTGCCCCTGCTGCCCAACAGGAGCTAGGGCTTCCCTTGAATGGGCTCAGAGGACAAGAGAAGCCCGGGCACAGAAGGCGTCCCCAGGCTGTGTGTCCACAGATACAAAGTGTGACCTTCCCACTGGCACCTCCGGGTCTTGAGCAGGAACAGCTCAGGGCTGAGCCAAGAAGGTGGTCTGCTCTCCTCTCTGCCTATCTCCCTTTGGAAGGGGCCTCTGGGAGAAGCTACCTGGGCAGAGGGGCCCTCTGCTCCTCGTGGACTCCTCAGGCCAAGCGCAGCACTGCCCCGTCCCGGAGGATCTGGCCACTACAAAGCCGAGACCCTGTGAGGGCACGGGGAACGTGGCGGAGGCCCACCTGGGGTGAGCAGCAGGGATTTACACCTTCGGAATCGGCTACTGGGGACCTCATGTTGTGTTCGTAGGACACACACAACATAATACTACTACTCATGACACAGAAAGAGGGCAGAAGGAATCATCTGGAGGTGACACGCGCGTCCGTGGCAAGGGTCACGGAGCTGGTAGTACTGGCGTGTACTTGTCTCCAACTTCCCTGAGTTGCACACATTAAATAAGTTCAACTTTTTGTACATCAATCGAACCTCATGCGTGGTTAAAAGACAAAAACTGCTCTCCTAGAAAGAGAAGTAAACACCCTGAAAGAACCCTGTGGAACAGAGCTGGAAGCTGTAAAAGCAGCCGGTAAAATGTCACGAGGCGGAAAGCCGAGCCTGCACGAAGGGGAAGTGCGAGAGGCCGGCATCAAGACGGGATTGCTCATGTGGGCCACACACCCGCGATGCTCCGGAAGTGGTCCAATGGCCTCGGGCCGCGCTTCTCCAGGGGGGCATCCCCTCGGCCGGAGCGCCTGCGGGGGCGAGGCACAGAGAACCGGCCTCTGCGAGCCCTCTCGCTCCCCACCTGCTCTCCATCCACTCCCCACGTCCATGACACGTTGCCAGACACTAACGTGGTTCCAGAAATTACCAACAGGAAAGGATTGGTTCATTATGAAAGAAACCGTACACAACGATGTTCAAAATTGGCCAAAAGAGAAGAAGGCATTTAGGAGCTGAGGATGAAGTAACAGGAAGACAGAATGCTGTTTCCATACCCCAGGCCCCATCCCTGCTTCTCTCGGCCAGAGCCTTTGTCCCATTTCCCCCCACGCCATCTGCTCTGAAACCAACAGCACTCAGGGGCTGGGGCAAACTCTGCCGGGAGCAGCTCTTGGAACAAGACTGAGAAGAACTGCTGGTTAAGCTGGAAATAATATAAATAAGTAAAACCCATTGACGACCAGGTCCTAAATGCACCAGAGAGGGCACAGGCCATGTTCGGGCCTCAGGCACTAATGCACAGTTGGTCAGCACAGCCAAGACCCAATCTTTGGACGTTGATTTTTTTTTTTTTTTAAAGTCATACTGATGCTCTGAGATGATAAAAAGCTACCTTTGAGTTTAGTGCACACTTGAGGGGTGTTTCTTTCAGTCTGTTCTGGATCTCCGTGGAGGCTCCATTTTGTAGCAATGTCTCTATGATGCCTTGGTAGCCCCAACGTGCAGCTATGTGTAGTGGGGTGTCTCCTTTCTCGTTACAAATATCTAGTCTGCATGACTGCACGTCATAGTAGACCAGAGCCTTCACACACTGCAAAGAAAATGGGAAATACCACCAGTAAGTCACATGCCAAGCCCTGGGCAATGTCTGTGGAACCCACAGCCTCAGTCCACACCCCGATTCCAGCCAGGCTCCGCTCACCAAGCAAATGTGCAGAAACAGACACAGAGTTCAAGGTTACCTCATCAGGACACATCATTTTTCTGAAAACTGTCGATCAGTAAGAAAAGGCTGAATAAATTGTGATGTATCCATGTGCAGAAGGGAACGACCACAGCAGGCCGGAGACCGCTGTCCACTGAAAGGCCCGCTTGCAAGCTGGCCCCTGACTCGCAATGCTCCTCAGGAGCTTGGATCTGCAGAATGGCTCACTGTCTAAATTGTGCAACTGCATGGTTTATGCTGAACACCTGCTTTTCTTCTAGAAGTCTGGAAGTTTGGCATGTGGCAGGCACAGCGCAATTACGTGACCAGCTTCCAATAAAAATCCTGGGCCCTGAGTCCCTACAGAGCTCTCCTGGTAGACAGCACTTCATATTTGCTATTATAACTCACTGCTGGATGAACCGAGGATGTTCTGTACATCTCCCTGGGGAGAGGACACTTTGAAGCTTGCACCTGCTTTCCTCCAGACTTCATCCGTGCACCTTTTCCCTTCGGTGACCGTGCCCTGGGTCCTTTCGCTATCGTCAATTATAGCAGCGTGACTATATGCTGAGTCCTATCAGTCGCCCTGGCAAAGCACTGACCAAGGGGTGGTCTTAGGGACACAGACGCAACACACGCAACAGATCTCTGTGTAGTAATTAAAGTACGGGCTGGGGCTACATTTACTGACCTCCAGGATTTCCATGACGTACTATTAAGAAAGTGGCTTTATAAGGATGGGGAGAGCTCAATCTCATATTTCCACATCCACCCCTAACCCGGCCTCTACCTTGGGTACATGTAAACCCACGTGTTCTCACACAGAGAAGATGGAGAGGGGGCGGTCAAGACAAAATCACACACACACACAGTTCAAGGTGAAGGGGAAGCAGAAATGATACAACTGTCACTATGACTACAAAAACGGAAGATGTAAAAACTGAAGGCGAACAAAGATCAGAACCAGGTGGCGGCAGGGATGGAGGAAAATGACTTTAATTTCAGGATACGCTAACGGGTGATTAAAGTTTAGCTTTCTGTTCTTACAGTAGGGCATCTGTAATACATTTAAGGCTTTTTTTTAATCAAAGAGAAATCACCCACCAAACATGCCAGTAAAGCGTGACGTTACACCAAGCAGAAACTCGGCGAGTGAGAAAGGGGGAGAAGAGCTACCCTGGGCACGGGGGGGGGGCGCCACTTACGTCTTCGTGACCATAGGTGCAGGCCAGGTGGAGAGGCGTGCTGCCGTGGCTGTCCCGCACCTCGGGGCTGGCTCTGTAGTGCAGTAACAGCAACTGCCAAGGAGACGAGCGCGGTGAGCAGCGTGGCCTGCGGTCTCATCTGCAACCATACTGACCTACGCTACAATTAAAATCCCACTATCACGCTCATCCTGCCCTTCAAAACGCCGAGACATTAAAGAACAAGGCTCACGGCCCCACCCTTCTTCCCCGAAGCCGCCGGGATGTTTCACATCGACACCGAGGGGTTTTGTCCACGGCGCCGTGGCCCGGAACACGTGGCCCATCCCGAGAGGCTTCGACGCAGGAGTATGGCCGTGAGGGTCTGGGCACGCGGCACCAGGCTCGTCTGAGCACGCGCACAGGGGTGGCGCCCCTGCTCACCGTGACGCTCTGATAGCCCTTCTGGCAGGCGAGATGCAGCGGGGCCGACCCGTGATAGTCCGTGGCGTTTACCACCGCGCCCCTGGAAACCAGGAGGTCGATGAGGGATGCCTGCCCTGCAGAACAGAGGGATGTCACCACAGAGAAGGAAAGAGCGGGGGCTCGCCAAGCCCTAAACGTGAAGTCCCATTGTTTTACCCTCTTATTCTCTGGTAGGGGACATGCCAGGAAGTGTTTTTCCCCTTGAGAGGGACCAGAGCTAACATCAAGCCAGACTCTAGATTAAGGACACTCTAGACCCTGCCCCTCCGGAGGGGGCTCGGCTCTGGTTCACCTCTCAGCAACAGAAGGTAGTGGTAAAGAGTCTTAGATATCCACAGAAGATTCCGTGGTGCGTCAGTTCACAGGATGGAATACTATATGACCATTAAAAAATAGCAAAGCCCCTGGAGGTGGCCCATGACACGGGCCCTGCCACCCCCGACTCCGCCACCCCATCAGTCAGGCCTCTGCTGGGCCGCCCCTGGCTCCATCCCTTTGCCTTAGTAGCCCAACCAAAGGCCAACCCAAGACCACATACCACAGAGGGCAGCCACATGGAGCGGTGTGTAACCCCTGTCATCTCTGGAAAATGGAGTAACAATGGAGGGATCGTTCAGCCTCCTAGAAGAGGGAGAAGAGCGGGGGATGCCTGGGTGGCTCAGTTGGTTGTGCATCCGACTCTTGATTTTGGCTCAGGTCATGATCTCAGAGTTGTGAGATCGAACCCCACACTGGGCTCATGCTGAGCATGGAGCCTGCTTAAGATTCTCCCTCTCCCTCTGCCCCTCCCCACCCCTACTTGCACTCTCTTTCTCTCTCTCTCTCTCTAAAAAAAAGAGAGAGAGTGAGAGAGATAGAAGATATAGAAAAATACACCCTAGGAATGGTAGGGAAAAGCCTCCCCCTACCAGGCTGGACATGCCAGAGTCCTGGGGCTAGTAGACAGATCTCTGGGTGTGAGCTGGATCTCTTTAACAGTGTCCCAGAGACCATCCAGCCCCTGCTCGGTCTCCTGCAGGGTGAGGCCTCTGGTCCCAGCATCCCTCCCCCACCCACCCCTCCAGGCTCTGACACCCAGCCTGACAAGGGGAAGGGAAACCCAAAAGGTTACTGGAGAAGCTGACATTCCTTCCACCCTAAAATCTGCTTTCTGGGGCTGGGTAGGCTCATACCCACCTACTCTGGCACCCAGCAGCGGGCCAAGTATTTTTATGACTTTTATTCCATCTGATTCTCCGAAGAGGTGGATGTTACTGTCTCCACTTTACAGCAGAGGAAGCGGAGTGCCACGAGGGTACGGTCTTTACTCAAAATCGCACAACAAACTAGTGGAAAGTTCAGCCCAGGCCCGCGCCTCCTGCTTGCAGGCACAGTGAGCCTCCATGGGGATGCTCTTACCCAGAGACAAGTTTCTCACAGTTCTCACAGAAACACAGAGGGTGACACATCCTTTGGACGGCATCTTTATCTTGGTCATCTTGGCTCAGAAGTCTCTCCACTTCTTTCTGGTTGCCGGACGCAATGTGCTACAAAGTAACATATCAAAGTTGAGGAATTGCTCTCTTAAGACATGAATTTTTGGAGCCCCCTTAGAGAAACACGTATTTGTGTTCGCACGGATGACGTGACTTGCTCTCTTGGATGTGTTTTGAAATAATCTGGGTGGACAGGGAAAGCAGGTGGGGATGGAGATGAAATAGGACAGAGATGGCCTTGGAGATGGCCATGTGGGTGTGCATTTATACTCTCTTTCACTTCTGGAAATGTTACACATCGTCCGTAGCTTAACACAACAACATGATAAAATTCCCAAAGCAATGGTGGGGGGAGGATCATGCCTCCTGAACCTCGGGGTGGATGCAGACTCCTCCCTAGAACACGCCTTGGTCTTGACCCCTTGTGTTTGTTTTTTTTTTTTAAGATTTTATTTATTTCACAGACAGAGACAGCGAGAGAGGGAACACAAGCAGGGGGAGAGGGAGAAGCAGGCTTCCGGCCGAGCAGGGAGCCCGATGTGGGGCTCGATCCCAGGCCCCTAGGATCATGACCTGAGCCGAAGGCAAGACGCTTAATGACTGAGCCACCCAGGCGCCCCATGTCCCCTTGTGTTCTAACAGAGCCTCAGTTTGCAGGGAAAAGGAACGGCTGCATTAGCGAGAGATCCCATCAACAAACAAGACTGAAGTGTAGGGCTCAGCTCTGTGATTCTTGGATGTGCTCCTCTCAGGGAGTGAGATGTTCTGGGGAGCATGTGGCCCCTGGGCGGCTCCCTGGGTGCTCCATCAACCCAATGTGCGTCCGGGTGGCCTGAAGCGCCCACAGGCTCCCTGAGGAGGTCTGCCCTCACCCAGCCCTCACCAACTAGCCTCCCAGGGGTCAATCATATCTGAGCAGGGAGCCGCCCACATGTGCCGAGTGATGGAACCACCGCTGCATAGGAACATCCACAACGCGGGGCTTCTGGAGCCCAGGAGAGGTGTCAGCTCTGCTGAGGCCACCCAGGAGGCACCTCGGAGAGGACCTTGATGAACCAGTGGAGAGAGGACAGCTCGGGCAGAGGGCTCCAGGCGTGCTGCCCCTCCAGCCACGGCACAGCACACCTTGGGGGAGATGCACAGATGTAAAACCTCAGCATTCCTGCACCCACTCTGAGCACAACATGAACTTCGGTGTTGAACCGAGCACACTGCCCTGATGGATGCTGTAAAGGCTCTAGAGATGCAGAAAGATGAAATGTCCCTCACATGCCTGTGCCCACACGGACTTCCCAGTGTCTTACCTTAAACAGACAATCAATGGGAGTTGAAGTCATCTGAGACAGCAGGCTCATTCTCTGCTTCAGGAACAGTCGGTCACCAAATCCCTCCGACTCCTGCAGGAAAAACCCAACAATCTGTTTTGTCAACTTGTCACAAGATGTCCGTGCAGACCCTTCAAAATGGACAACCCGGGCTCAGTCCCTGCTACTTCCTCACAGAACAGGATTGGCAGAGCCTCTGTCCCTGGGCCAGAGAGGAGATCCTCATCGGGCTGGGACAAGGGCTTCTGTCTGTCCCTGCAGGAAGCGGCTCCTGGGAGGAGGGCCCTGGGGGCACACTGCCTCTGTGCACACATGTGTGGAATGTGTCATCACGAAGTGTGGAATGTAGCGTGCTCACACCATCCTCCTCTGAACGGAAGCCTGCATTGCCTTGGCCTCCTCCTCCTCTCAAACCACTGTCCTAAAGCCTGCACAGCCCTAGCCCCTGCCACTTTATCTGGGCATACAGAGAGGACAACCATCTGACAGACGGTTCTAGATTTCCCAGGGTCACCCAGCAAAAGAGAGAGAAGGAGTCTTGCTTTCTGAACATACTTACTAAAATAGCCGACGAACATGGCCACCGTTCCCAAATCCTGTAATACACCGGGGTCTACCCCAAATAATAAATTCAGATCTTTGTATCACAGGTAATATTTACTTAGATACAAAAATCTAAAAATGCATCCTTTCTTTATGAAATAATTCCTAGCGAGACATTTCAACACTCACTGGAGCACCTGCAACTTGACTGATGACAAATTAACTTCCTCAAAAAAGTCTCAGTGGGAGGTAAAGGGGGTTTCTCCCCCAGCCAGTTGCTGCCAGAAGAACTCACCGAATCCTGACAAAAGTTTGGGATAAGGCCCTTCACGGCCCTCAAGCTCTGACTCAGAGATCCAGCTAAAGACACAGCCTGGGTGGCACCTCAGGGGACGGCCCCTTTCTGGGATCCTCTGTCAGGCACAGTCCCTCACAGCGGCGGCCCTAAGAGGGTTAACCTGGCAAATACACACCAACCCCCCAGATGAGAGCCCGTTTGCTCCCAGCTGCCATCTGCTATATAAAACTCTAGCAACCTGTTTTATTCAGTGATTTATAGCCAAGCAGATTAGGGTCAGAGAAACGTGAAAGATGCTATTGCTCAGGTAAATGTGGGGTCCCTTCCTCCACTCTGGGTAACCATAGGAAGGGCAATGATGAAGAGAGGCAAGTCCTCAGGGCCTGAACCTTCAAGGAGAAATGACCTACCAGAAGAGACCACATATCAGCTCAGATCCATTTGGGAAGGGGGTACATACTATTTATGAGAAGCCCAGTACAGTGAGAAAGACCAGAAGCCCACAAAGCTGGAACAGAGAAGGGGATCACTTCTTTCAGCGTTCTGGCTTTTGGTCTACAGGGGTTAAACTAGGGTCATCCCAGTAATGCTTATTTTCAAAAAGCTAGTCTTTATTTACGAGACTTTCAAGTCTTTATGCTTAAAGAATGCATATATGGGGGGCACCTGGGTGGCTCAGTCGTTAAGCGTCTGCCTTCAGCTTGTGTCATGATCCCAGGGTCCTGGGATCGAGCCCCGCATCGGGCTCCCTGCTCCGCGGGAAGCCTGCTTCTCCCTCTCCCACTCCCCCTGCTTGTGTTCCCTCTCTCGCTGTGTCTCTGTCAAATAAATAAAATCTTAAAAAAAAAAAAAAGTATATACGGTCACCTCAGGTACAATTAGATCTTGGGAGGAAATATCTGTGAAACTACATCATATTATATAAAGAGGCAACAGGAAGACAAAATTCGATTTACTAATACTGAGTCCTGAATGCTCTCCAGAAGCCTCACCTGCTGTGTGGAAATCCACTTGAGCTCCTTCCCCAGGAAGGGACACCGACACATCGCACTGGCCTCACACCTTCCGAAGTAGAACTGCACTAAGACAGGAAGCCAGTCAGCAGCTATGGCTGACCAAGGCCAAGGCAGAATCTCAATACTGGCACCACAAAGACAAGAAGCTACCACACCTGTTCTATCAATACAGGTAAGGAGCATCTCTCAGGCCTGCCCCACTCAAGGCCCAAGGGACTGGCTCCACAGCAGGTGTAAGGATGAGGCACACCTTGTCCCAACACCAGATGGGACCAACCACCCCCATCCAGAAAGGCAGGACCAGGACCAGGGGCAGACACCTCAGACAAGAGGGGCACACTGGGCGGTGTCCCCACTTTGCCCGCAGAGGCTATCCACACAGGACGCACCAGAGAGCCAGGAAATAGAGACACCCAGATGCGGGGGTGTTGGGAGAGCAAGCTGAGGCCAAGAGTATCAGCTCGTGCTTCACAAAGGCACTTCCAAACACCCTAGTTCATTCCTGTCAACTCCTAGCAAGAGGTGAAACATACAGCCTCATCGTCAGTGTAGATAAGAAATGGACAGAAACTCAGAAACAGACTTGCCCAAGGGCAAATACAAGTGCTGGGCTCGAACCAACACCAGCACAAGAGGGCCGCCCCTCAAAACTCCCCCAATCCAGGGGCACCTGGCTAGCTCAGTCAGTGGGGAACGCGGGTCTTGACCTCAGGATTGTGAGTTCGAGCCCCATGGTGGGTGTCAAGATTACTTAAAAATAAAATCTTTAAAATTAAATAAATAAAAATTAAAAACCAAAACAACTGCCCCAATCCCACTCGGGATGTTGTCTGAAGTCAAAGTGGGTGTGGCAAGCTGACTGGTGCTGTGTGGTCAGCCACCTCCTTCTGCTCTGGTCAAAGGCTTCAGGTGTTAGTCTTGCTGCCCACACGCCACAGGAAGTAAGCAGGCTTATAGGATGGTCACTGTGCAGTTACAGGCATAGCAAGGGGACAGCAGCACCTCCCACCAGGCGACAAGGGGCGCCCTTAACCCCATCGAGAAGCATCAGACAATTCCTACCATCAGCCTACATGCCAATAAGAGGAGCATAATTTCAAATTTTCGTTAAAAATACAACTGTATAGGGGCGCCTGGGTGGCTCAGTAGGTCGGGCGCGTGACTCATGGTTTCGGCTCAGGTCACGATCTCGGGGTTGTGGGATTGAGCCCTGCGTGGGGCTCTTCACTCAGTGTGGGGTCTGCTTGGGACTCTTGCTCTCTCCCTCTCTCTCTCCGCTCCTCCCTCTGCTCACACACACTCTCTCCGCCTCTAAAATAAGGAGGGCGCATGATGTGATGAGCACTGGGTGTTATACGCAACTAATGAATCACTGAACACGACACCAAAAATTAATGATGTACTATATGTTAGCTAATTAAAGTTAAAAAATGTTTTTAATTAAAAAATAAAAATAAAAAATAAATAAATAAATAAAATCTTTTAAAAAACCGTATAGGCACACAAAAGAGACATATGCCAAAACGTTAATAAGTCATCCCCAGCTGGTGAGTTTGTGAGAGGTATGTGTTGTCTTCACTCCAAGTGTATACAGCTGTCCCTTGAACACAGGTCTGAACTGCACGGGTCCACTTAGATGGCAACAGACACAGTACGGTACTCTAAATGTATGTTCTCTTCCTTATGATTTCCTTAATAACATTTTTTTCTCCAGCTGACTTTATTGTACGAATACAGTATATAATACATATAACATACACAGTATGTGTTAATCAACTGTTTATATCATCAGTTAGGCCCCTGGTCAACAGCAGGCTACTAGTAGTTAAGTTTTTGCGGGAATCACAAGTTATATGCAGATTTTCAACCATGTGGAGGGTCAGCAACTTTAACCCCTGAGTTGTTCAAGGGTCAACTGTATATTGTAAATATTGTTTATAAGCAAGTATCGGTCTCCTAATCAGAAAAAAAATAAAAGATTCTTTTGGGAAAAACAGTGTAAAATGCTATATACAATATAATTTAAATTATGTGAAGTATACATGGATGGGGGAAAGACGGGAAAACACATAAAGATTTTAACAATGAATGATTTCACCCTGTCTGGGCAGGCCTCTGGTTTTTTTCCAGCTCTTTTAACTTATCATTACTTGGGGAGATTCTACGATCAAGGGAATGCTCAGTCCTCAGGACTCCTGGCATGTAATATAGGAATCTCTTCATCTTATTAATTTCAGTGTTGTTGAAATTCCGTGCGTACTGTCACATCTTGCTGGCTGATGCAACAGGCCAGCGATGCAATCTTGGTGTTAGATCTCACACTTCACATCGAAATACAACCGCCTCTCCTAAGCAAAGCTCACCAAGAAAATCATAATAAGGCCAGTGAGTCCTAAAATTGCATATGTGAATAATCCCATCTCTTGCCTAGATACCCAAACTCATGGTTTCTAGCTTCTCCCTTCTGCCTATGTGCTTTTTTTGAGGATGGCGAGGATTAACAAAGCAGTATTTTAACTGTGAATCCCGGTCATATCCTGCCAACTTTCACACCCAATTGGGTGCTTAGCATTTCAGGCTGCTGGGCGGCTGTCAAGCCTCACAGCTCTTAGACAGTAGAGGCCCCGTTCTTGGGAAACCACTTAAGAATCCCCCTCCCCTGGGGCGTCTGGGTGGCTCAGTCAGTTAAGTGTCTGCCTTCGGCTCAGGTCGTGATCTCAGGGTCCGGGGATCGAGCCCCGGGTCGGGCTCCCTCGCCCTCTGCTAGCCCCCCTGCTCGTGCGCTTGCTCGCTCTCCCCCACCCACTCTCTCTCAATTTCAAATAAATAAATCTTGAAAAAAAAAGAAGAAGAAGAAGAATCCCCTCCCCACCCGCCAACCTCAGAACCCTAGCAAAGGTGCCCTGACACCCACAAAGAAAGGCCAGGGCAGGAGGGATCTTACGGGCGGCTTAACGGAGAGGCTTCCTTGCCGAATATATTCGACCGCAGCCTCAATCGAGGTCAGGCAGTATCCCAATTCATCTTTTGCTGAGCTGCTAAATCTGAAGTTTTTGATATAACTCAAATTTGCCATCCTAACAAAAGGAAGAAAAAAGTTTCACCGTTGGGTACCCAATTAACACCTCTCCAGAAACAACGCTATGGGCGTGAGTGACTGAAGTCGGTTAGCTCCAGGGGCTCTGACTGCTACCCCCTTAAGCTCTAGAGCACGTGCAATTAGGAAAATGAGTAAAACTACTTGGTCACCAGTTTTTAAAAAGCTGACTACTGTAAAGTGAACTGGGGGTTCCCGTCAGAAGAAGACGGGCTCTGGAGTCAAAGAGAACTGGAGTCAGCGTCCCCCTCAGTCACTGACTTGTTCTAGAACAAGAAACATAAGCTCTCTGGGCCTCAGTTTCCCTATCTGTAAATGGAATGACAGCCACCCTCTGCAGAACAAAGCAGGGCAGACACAGCGATGGACTCATAAGGGGCGCTCGATTTCCTGGAGTTATGCTAAAACCACCCCGGTACCATGCTGCCATTTTGAAAAAATATTTTAACAGAAAATATTACCAATTAGGGATCTCTGTTTTCACAAGCAAATACAACAGGACCGATAGCAGATCATCAGCACAGATGGTCTCCAAGTTAACTGCGGTGGGGAGGAAAACACATGTTTGAAGCCATCATGAGACCAACAGGTGTATCAACTCCCCACCATCATCCAACCCACAAAGCCACAATCCAGTAAGACTACACATCAGGGAGAAGTTCCATTGCACAATTTCCTTTAGAGTGTTCTGAACTGGTGTCACATTTGAGGGGAAAGCGAATGCCTAGCATTCTCAGAACATGTGCAGAAGAAGGAAATTCCAAGCACTCTCCCCCTCGCCACCTTCCGGGTGGTTCAAGTCAGGGATAGTGGACATGAGGCGAAGGTGTGCCCACAGCCACCGTGAAAAGCTTCTTTCCTCCTGAAATCATTTCCATTTTATACACTGCAAAGTCTAATGCTCACGTCTAGCTTGTTTTTTTTTTCACTTTGAAATTTTAAGGAATCCATTCACATGTCTAAAAAATTTGAATAGCACAGAAGAGCAAACTGTGACTATCTCTCCCATCCCCACTGCCCAAACTTCCCCCAGAGGCTACTGCTGTTTCTTCCCACCTAACCTTCCAGAGACAGTCTAGGAACTCACCACCGTGCATTCCTTTTCTGGAATGCTGTTAGAAGTGTACCATATACACTCCCTCTCATTTCACTTAATGCGCTTTGAGGATCACCCCCTATCTGCCCACACAGATATGACTCCCCTTTACTTTCTTCCTAGCTTATTTTGCTTTACTTTTTATATCGGAAAATTTTAAACAGACACAAAATTAGGAAGATGGGTCTAATGAATAGTTGAACCCCCATGTACCCATCACCAGCTTGGATCATTTTTCTTTCAGATTAAAGGTGTGTCATTTTAAGCCAAAAAATTTTGTCAACAGAACAGCTTCAGGCTGGAACACAGCTGCCGAAGGAGGCTGGTGAGCAGGGTGGCCCTGGGCTAAACAATCAGCAGTGAATGTCCTGATGGGGCCATACACCCACACCCTGGCGCCATGACAAGTTCAAGAGAACACACGACAGGAAGCTTAAAGTCAATCATACACATTGCTGTACCTTGGCAAGCTCAGACCTGAGCTGTGGACAGTGTCATTCTGGAAACCCAAAGCTACTGCAAAGTCAGATTCTCAAAGAACCTGTGCGGCTTGGATTTGGATTTACAGACCAACTGCATGGCGCCCATGCAGGTATGGGGAAGCTTGGCTCGCTTTTGAGGCTGCTTCTTCTCCGCCACTGTTCTCTCGCCTAACCTACTCCCAAGCCCCCTCGCTAGGCACCCACACATCAGAGCAGACTCCGGGGTGCTCACATGGGGATGCTCTACGGCACATCAGCCCAGCTGTGTGATCCTTGAAGATGACACTGCTCCTTAACAGACTTTTGCATCTGGACGTTAAGTGTCTACTCCGCCGTCAGGCCCCTCCCCTGAGCACAAACCTCTCTGGCTGGGAGACTGGGTTATTAGCTGCACCACCTTTCGCAAACAAATCAACTTCTGCTGTGGGGAGGTGCACTTGTTCAGCTGAGCCAGCTCTCTCTTTGCACGAGGTATGTTGAAGCTGCAAAATAATTTGGAAAGTGACAACTTAAGACCACAGTGGGAGGGCCCTTCTTCCCTGATCTAATAGCATACCTCAGATTTACTCTGCTTACGACAAACCATAAGTAACGACAAACAAAAATAGAAACTCGGGAGCAATCGGACTCAAATGAGTGGAAAAACTCAACACCTTTGCATGTGCCATTCAGAATGCAAAACCGTATTATAGAGGCGCCAGAAAATTAGGAAAAAATAAAAATAAAAATCCTTAGCCCCAGAGTGAGATAGCTCAAAGGGGTTAAAATAGTTTCAGCATAAACACTTAAGACATTTTTGTATCCTAAAGAAACATAAATTATTCAAAAGCAGGTCAAAAGACCAGCTGTGCAAAACCCCCACCCGTCGAGTTCCTACCCAGCTCTCATGTGGGCAGCAGGGGCAGGAGGGTGACATCTGCCAACCTCAGTCCTTTATCTTTGGTCACAAGTAACCGCGCTGCTCCTCAGTATGAACCAGGCCAAATCAGTGTGCGGTCCCTGCTGCTGAGAGCCCTGCTTCCAGAAGCAGAGGCCCCAGCCTCCGAGGATGCTACTACGGCAGTGCAAACTCTTACCTGCACTCAGGTTTCACGCCAATGTCCTTCTGCTGAAGATCCTGAAGACTTCTTGTGATTTTGTTGAAGGCAGCATCCTAACAACAGATTTTAACGAAGCTTCAAATTTCTTAAACAGCTAAGGATAAAAGGCTTCCAACCAGGATGACGGGGATTTAGGACCTACCTCGCTTGCCTCCATGGTCCCCACGTATTTAAAGATCAGATCATAAATATCGTGCTGGACGTACATCTGTGGAATCAACGAACAGACCGCCGTTCCGAGTGTGCGGAGGGGACCGGGAAAGCCTCCCCCTCCCCCCGCACCACTGCCTCCTCTCCCTGCACTGGCCTAGCCTCTTACCTCCACTGCCTGCTTCAGCAGGTTCATCTGGGCCTCCTGCTTGGCAAGCATTTTCTGCAGGGCAAGAAGGTACTGTTAAAGAGCTTGGACTGGCATGTGGGCAAACTGCAGTTCTCTCTTTTGAAAGTCCTGCTGCTTACCAGGTGAGAGTCCCTCAGAAGCTGTTGGAGGCATTTGGTGTAGAGAGCATTCACCGAGTCCTGTGCAACACACGGCAGAGAAACAGGTCACCCATAACCCAAGGCCCCAACACAAAACCCAAAACGTGTCACGCGTCCCAGAGCGAGAACATTTCACAAGATGCACTTCCTGGGTGCCAAGCTTTAAGTACTGATACAGGCTTATCAAATAAATTATGTGGGGTTTTTTCCAACTTTTTTTTTTAAGTGTATATGCATGAAGGGTTAGAGAAAATTTCCCTTGGGGTTCACAAAGGTGATAACAATATTCATTTTTATACTATGTCAGGTTCAAGTTTTCTCCAGTGGCTTGACTACTTTTATTGTTAGAAGGAAACATTTAAGCAAAGCTTCCAACAGTGGAGGCAGCAAAGTTTCAGAGTGCACTGAGAGGGATCCCCATGTTCTTGAACCGGCCTGAGCCAGGGCACCCTGGCAAAGCAAGACACAGCTACTGACTATGTGTTGACGGAGGCTCTTTCTTTCACATTCCCTGAATGTTCGCTGGAAAGAAGCAATGCTCCTGTCAAATCTCTCCGTGTGTCGTCCCAAAAACTCCCTCACATCTTCAATGGTTTTCAGGGTAAAGGGATCTGAAGATGTTGAAGGCTCTTCTGAAAAAAGAGACAGAGGGTCAGGCTGGCTGAGGCCTTCACAGTTTCCTAATGGGGGAAGTACCACATCCTTTGCCCTGCTCCCCCAGGGTCTGGGGCCCCATCTTCCAGGAGAGGACAGGAATTATTTCAAGGTACTGCCCAAGAGCAGCCTCATTACAGGACAGCTCAGGGTCCAGAGAGCCTGGCCCTCTTGAAGCCCTTTCCTTGGACAAAACAAGTTGAGACCGTGGGCATGACCTATGCGGCTCTGGTGAACAAGCCCTGATTCCTGGCAATACAGGCCTCAGAGTACATTTAGCACATGGTTGTCTCAGTTTCCTGGAACAACTGAAGACTTATTATTTATTAAAAATAATGAGCTCTCAAAGAGGCACAACAGTGGGGCTGGATGGGCAATAATGGTATAAGAGTTAGCTCTAACACTGAGGCCCAAGGTCAAACCACCCTGTACAACTCCAAGGGGCCACATTCACACAGAGGTCTACATTGATGTCACCTCCCAGAATTGTGTGATGTCCAACCTGTGCAACCATACACAGCAGCCCCCAGCCACACTGTCTTAGCTCAGGATGACTTTTTGATTAAGTTCTGGGGAATTACTGTAAAGTTAGGCAGGCTTCTAGCAGGCTCTTAAATATTTTATGGGATGTTTATCACAGCTATGTCAGGAGGAAGTTCAACAAACACAGTTCTCCGGAAAGGGGTTTTCTCCCAGAATACCTGAACTCTCTCTCTTTTCCAAAGGATGGGCTATACAAAGTATGCTGAAACTTTCTTCTTTCTCATTGTAGAAAGTTTCTTCAAAGAGAATGGGCACTGAGAGAAGACAGGCGAAACCAGCTCCTAATTTAATCCTGTTTCCTTGTATAAAGACATCCTGGAACAAGAGAGCCGTCACTGCACCAGTGGCCGGGGGTGACCGTCGATCCCCCCTCCGCCTGGCCCCCGATACGGTGATGCTTCCGACCTGCACACTTTTGTTCCAGTAGAGCTCTGCAGGGCAGGCGTGAACACTCTCCCGTGTTGCTTTTTAATACTAAAATGTTTTCTTTCCTCTTTGTTCACCCTATAGCTACAGCTGATCCTTTTTAAATATTGTGACAGAGATGCATTAAGCTGGTCCTTGGAGCAGAAGAAAACCTGTACCCTCTGGGAAAGGAGGAAGGAAGAAGGCTCTCCTGGAATGGCCTGGTACTGCATGGGGCCAGGGAAGGGACGCTACCCTCCCTGCCACATTCAGCACTCTGGCCACGGCTGGGGTACCCGGGCAGATGAGCCGTGATAAGCCTGACTCCTCTGTTCTCCTTGTAGATTTGGCTTCCCTGAAGAGAACAAACTAGCAGTGACTAGCAGGGCAAACAGGGCTGCTGACCCCCACCCCCCTCATGCTGGTGTCCCAGTAACCCCGTGTCCTGTCCTGTCCCTTCTCTCCCGCCACAGGCCCACGCGAGCCCTGGCTGTCAGGTCCGAGGGACTGAGCTGCCCCAAATGCACCTGGGCCCACACCAGTCCCGGCAAGGAACAGAACACCCCCCTCCCAGAACCTCTCTACCTCCCCTTAAAAAATAAGAAAACGCGGACCCCAGAGGTAACATCAACAATGAGACAGACTGACGTCATGTGTCTCTTGTCACAACACGCTGAGAAAAATAAAACACCCTTCCAGCCGTGAGGGAACCTCTGGGAACCCCAGGATGAGCGAGAGTCTACAAAGCAAAACCATCCGTGTCATGAAAGACAAAGACCCCTCGAGGACTGCACCAAATCGAAGGAAACTAAAAAGATCAGCAACTGAAGGCATTGCAGGATCCTGGATCTAAAAAGAAAAAAAAGATTTTCTACAAAAGGACATTTTTTGAATAATTAGCACGATTTGTATGAGGACAGTGTGCTGAACAGTTCACTTTCCTGAGTGGGATCACTCTGCGGCTAAGTTACACAGGAAATGCGTTTTAGGATAAAGGGGCATGGTGTCTGAAACTCACTCTTACTTTTTCTGAAAAGGGCTCAAAGAAAAGCAGTAATAGCGCGTGGGGGTGTGGGGGAGAGGGACTGATAAAACAAATGTGGCCAGAATGCTTACAGCTAACCAATCTGGGGGAAGAGTATAGGAGAGTTCTTTGTGCTTTACTGAAGCTTTCTCTAGGTTTGAGATTATTTCAAAAGAATGTTATGTATTTATTTATTTATTTGGCTTATTGAAGTTTTAATAACATGCTTGTTTTTTGGTTTTTGTTTTGGCTTATTTAAGTTTTAATAACATTTTTTTTTAAGAACGTTTTTTAAAAAGTTAAAATTCACCCCTGATGTACTATTTGTGGCCAAGAAACTGATGAGTCTTTCAAGAGCACGGGGATAAAACAGGTTAGTGACAGGACCTCGTTCAGGAGATGTTCCAGAGACTCCCTGACTTAGCAGCAGGAGGCCCCTGCACTGAGGGAGAGATGCCCCGCCCCCCCACCCCTCCACCCGCCCTCCTCCAGGGCAGAGGTCCAGCCAGGCCCTGCTCCCGATTACCATCTCCTCTTTCCTCAAAGGCAGGGGGCCCTCCAACCCCAGGCCACAGGCTGCTGTGCGTGCCAGAGCCATCATCTACCACAGCCGGGACAGGGTGAGACGCGGGACCCCCTGCCCCCGACCCCCATTCCCAAACACTGAGTGAGGGACCCCGGTTGACCCACAAAGAAATGAATACCTTTCCATTTAAGGTCTGAAAGTGTTCTTCCATGGGTATCAAAACATAGGACTCAAACTGACAAGTGGACTGAACGCTGCTTGACAAGCTTCCTTTGCAGGGTACCAGGACCTGGAAACAGTAAGCAGGGTGAAGAGTACAAGATGTGCCGCTTAGAGCTGCAGAAAGCCGGGGGGGGCCAGGGGGCACATACTGGCAGACAGAACCAAGCGACTGGGGTGACGGACGTCCTGGTAGTGAAGCTGCCACCCCTGACCTGGGCAGAGGGGTTGGGCGCAGGCCCCCAGGCTTGTTCCCACACCCGCTGGGTCCCCCCCTCCCACAGCCAACGCCAGGCGCCCCAGTCTATTCTCAACAGGCTCAGGGACGACCCCAGAGGAAGACAGGGTCGTCTGGAAAGAAGAGAAAAGTGAACCTAAAAAGTCACACGTAATCCCGCCGCCTGAATGAGGAGAAACACTGCACCGTGAAGACAGTTTCCTTCCCGTCTTTTTTCTCTATTTTTTTTTAAGCCCAGTTGTGATCACAGTTTGTTATATGAGCAGCAGAAACAGGGTTTCCTGTGGCAAATGGCCACCTCCGCCGAGGTGTCTCAGGGTACCAGGCTCTGTCCTTGGGGCGGGCTCCATCTGAGAGGTAAACTGTGGCCCGACCGTGGCCACCACACCACCGCCTTGTGCCCTGGCAACCACACACGGGTCTGTGCGTGGCGGCTCAGGGACTCTCTCAGACTCAAGTGTGCTTGGAAGGAAGACGCCCAAAGCGGTGTAGACCCTCGGAACCCCACCTCCTGAAGCAACGCAGCCCAAAGCATATGGCTTCCGCGCTATCCCCATCCTACAGACAAGGAAACTGAGGCTCAAGGGAGCTAAGGAAACTGTCTGGGGTCTCGCGGCCAGTGAGTGCTAGGGCCCTGACACAAACTCCTGCCACCTCCCGGAGCCAGTGCCCAGAGCCCGCTGGAGCTCCCCCAGCAAAGACACGGTCAGTGAAACCGCAGCCTTGAGAGCCCCTGTCACCCGGGGCTTCCTCGGGCGGCTCGGCCTCTTGCCACACAGAGGGGCATGCCAACTCCTCAGAGCAGAAGGTGGCACTTGTGTATAGGAGAATGCTGACAAGATGGCCTGTCCCCTCCTCAAAAAATCAAGACGTAATCAGATCCACATCTAGCTCGAACCACCAATTTCCGGAAGTACGGTGAACAGAGGACCACCGTCAGCACCACCCCCGGGACTGCCACTGGCAAGAGCCAGAGTGCCAGGAACCCGGACGAACGCACTGCAAAGACACAAAGAAAGAAAACAAGGAAAGGGGAAGATAGAACGAAAAAGCAGAACACTGTGGAGACGGTTTCCCAAGGCCAGGCGCATGTCAACGCTGACCACGCCTCACACACGGGGAACGTGCCTCTGCACACTTCACTTGAGCTTGGCAGTGAGGAGGAAAGACAGACGTGGAGACTCATCCATCCAGTGTGACGTATGGATCTCCTCTGGACCCTGATCTGAACAAACCCACCGTGAAACAGACAATTATGAGATGATTTGGGAAATTTGAACAGGGACTAGATGGTGGACAATACTGAAGAATTATTGTGGAAAGTTTTAGCTGTGATAATGGCATTGTGCTTACCTTTTTTTAAGAGTCCTTATCATTTAAAGACACATTCCTAAATATCTACAGATGAAACTGCATGACTACCCGACATAATTTTCTGGGATTTGCTTCAAAATAACCCAGTGGCCGAGGGTGGAGGGCAGGAGGGTGCAGAAAGGACATGTGATGGGCCACCGAACGGATCACTGCTGAAGCTGGGTGAAAGGTGCATGGGGCTCATTATACTACCCTTTTTACTTTTATCATGTTTGCAATTGAGCTCAGTCAATAGAGTATGTGACTCTCAATCTCAGGGTCATAGTTTGAGCCCCATGTCTGGCATAGACAGATTACTTAATAAAAAAAAAATCGCTTTAAAACAATTTTAAATTTTAATAAAAGTAAAACTTAAAAAGGGGGAAAAATAAAAAATAAAGAAAAGGTAGGCCCTCAGATATAAGCCTGAATTGAGAAACAACCTCCTCATAGCCTCAGAGAGCACAGGAAGAAGAGCCTGGGGCCCCGAGGGCTGGCCACAGGCATGGGAATGCCATGAAGCAGGTGTTTAACGCCCTAACTCAGGGAGGCCCAGAGAAGATCCCTCGCCTGCTCTATAGATGAAGGAGTCATACAGTCCCATGTGAGAGACCAGGAACTTCTCAGGTGCTTTGGAGAACCTCACTCCAGCTGTGATCACATTCTTTTTACCTGTTCACGTACACTTTGCCTCCCTAACTTAAATAAAGTACGATGGGCTCCAGCTGCATTGTATCCCTGTTACTGACCTCACTGTTCGACATCCAGTAGGTGTCCAATCAATGTTTGTTGAATGAACAGGAGTCCTCCAATAGCAAGGACCCCCCCACCACCACCAATTTTGAGGCAGACAATGCTGCCCAGAGCATTTCATTGCAAGCAAAAGCCAGGAGCTGGGCTCTCTGAGTGACAGGGAGGGTGAGGAAGCCAGCCCCTGGGGGCTGGGGATGTGGAGCAGCTAGGAAGCTGCCCACAGGAGGCGGGGTCAAGTGCAAGTGCCTTCGGGGCTCTCCCAAGTCGGTGATTCAGACTTCTGGAGATGTCATGGGCATTACAGCCTATGTGGAGGACACAAAGTTTAGAGTCTCCGGGTAGGCCATAAGTGGGGGACCTGCTTATTTTAAAGCTTAACAATACAACTTTTTATTCTAGTCTCTTTATAAAGAATTTTTAAATAACAGTAATTAAAGAAAAGACAGTAGAATAAAAGCAAGAATCAGCATTCATGACACTACTCCAAAGTACCCTCCTGACTCCGCCCCAGGGAACGTTAGGGTGACTTCTGTCCTGACACCCATTCTGAGCGACCAACGGTCAGCTTCTGGAATTCCCCAAAGGCATGCTGCGTTCCCCCACTCATCTGTACGATCCTGGAAACCGGGCACGGTGCCTGGTACCTAGTGGATGCTCAACAAATGTTTTTCGGCTGGATCTATGCCAAAGGAATCCTAAGAACTAGAATATGGACCTCAGTGCCCTTAGCTGGCCTGTCTAGGTATTTTACTTGAAAGTCAGTTCTTTGAAACTCGGAAGACATGCTGACAGGTTCCCAGGCTAGCCCTCAAAAGAAATGCTGACAGGTTCCCAGGCTAGCCCTCAAAAGCCTACATACCCCATAATTAAAAGATCACAATAGGGGCGTCTGGGTGGGGCAGTCGGTTGAGCATGACTCTTGTTGACTCTTGATTTCAGCTGGAGTCACGATCGCAGGGTCATGGGATCAAGCCCTGGGTTGGTCTCCACGCTCAGCGGGGAGTCTGCTTAAGATTCTCTCTCCCTCTCCCTCTGCCCCTCCACACTGTGCGCTCTCTCTCAAATAAAATAATCTTAAAAAAAGAGAGAGAGAGATCACAATAAGAGGAACAAATTTAATCTCCCTATGTAATTTCTGTTTCTCCTATAGGCAAATGCACCCACCCCTAATCCACCTGGGAATCCTGCCACCTCAATGGACAAGAGCCCCAGGGAGGCAGCAGGCCTGGCCAGCCCACTCTGAAGAAACCACGGTGTATAATTAACTGGATGCTAATTAAATAGAACAGGAGTGACTATTAGAAGTGGTGTGGGGGTATCACAGGCCTCTGTGGTTGGAATCTGGGGAACATGGGGAGAAGGAGCTTCCCCCGTCCAGTCAGAGAGCAGGCGACGGCAGGAGGTGCCTGCCTGGATGCATGGGCATCCCAATCAAAGGAAGGTTTTGGAAGGAAGTCACACTCGAGGGGGGATGGGGCAGGTGGAGGGAGCAGTCAAGCTGCACCCCTCAGCTGCCACACACACACTGTCGCATGAGGATGAGGTGGCCAGTGAGCTGGGCTTTAGGAAGAGGTGTGAGGGGCAGCTAACCCTGGCGGGGAGGGACATGCATATTTAAAAGTGATGATTTCACAGGTTTTTAGAGCCCAATAAATGACTCTGGTCCCCAGGGCAGATTCAAGAACAGCCAAACTTGGCCCGATGGCCAGGCCCCAAGGAAAGAAATTCAGCATTCACCTGCTGAGGCGACAGGGATCCCTTCGTGGTGGCAGAAACAATGACTACTCTTCCAGAGGTGACTGGAATATTCTTTCTCATTCCACCAACAGACATAGATGGAGCACTACTATGGATTAGACCAGGATGAACCGGAGCCCCCATCACACAGCCAAGAGGGGCAGAAACTAGCCACCAACACCTGATTGGGCTGAGCCGGATAGCCAGGTCCTTCGCACGGTGACTTCTGCTGAGAAGCTGGCCTCATTCCCCTCAGAGGGGAATCTCCCCTCTGCTGAAGGCCACAAAGTCAGTGTTGCCAAGTGTGGGCCCCAGGCAGCTCACCATGGACCCCGTAGATCCTAGGAGGGGCGAGAGAAAGGACCTAGGATACCACTGGGAACTCAGGATGACACAGTTTAAGAAGAATCTCCCCATTCCTTGGTGTGGCCAAAAGGAAGGTGACCAAGATACCAAAGTTCTTATTCAAAATTTCCCAATTTCCCTTTTGCAGAAGGCAGCTTGAGTGGGATTCTACTACTTGCAGCTGGAAAAGCATCTACCTGGTGACAGGAACTGTGCTAAGTGCTGGCAACACAGTGATGAGCAAGACAGGTCCCACAGAGTATTCACAGTGTGGCTTTTTTTTTTAGACAGAGAGAGAAAGAGAGTGCGCACGCGCTAGCTGGGGGAAGGGGCAGAGGGAGAGAAAGAATCTAAGGCAGGCTCCATCCCCAGGATGGAGCCTGACTCGGAGCTCAATCTCATGACCCTGAGATCATGACTGGACCTGAAAATCAAGAGTTGGACGCTTACCTGACTGAGCCACCCAGGTGCCCCCACAGCGTGGAATTCTTTTTTTTTTTTTTTTCACTTTTTATGAAACACGGTCCATATTTTTTATTATAAAGTATAGTTGACATACAATAATATCTTAGTTTCAGGTGTACAACATAGTGATTCAACAATCCTATACATTACTCAAGGCTCACCACAATAGGTGTAGTAGCTATCTGTCACTATATTGCTATTACAATATTATTGACTATATTCCCTATGCTGTACTTTTCATCTCTGTGACTTGCTTATTTCATACACAGCGTGGAATTCTTAAAGAGCAAGAGAAAGTTACATATAGTCTGCTCTTATCCAGACAGCAATTTTTAAAAACATTACAGAACAAAGATGGGGGGGGAATATTTCTCAAATTCAGTCAGGCCCCCCCAAGTTAACATGATGGCTTTGTATCCTATACTTCTTATCTGGGACACGTACCACAACTGTAATTAGTAGATATTTGCTCAGAGCATGACCATCTCTCCCAATAGCATTTAAGCTCTATAAAGGTAAAGAAGGTGATGTTTATTGCCATCAAACATGGTACCTGGCCCAGAGGGGCATTTAATAATTACTGTGAAAACAGATGATAAGGTCTCTGGTGAACTTTATATGATTTTTTTTTAAAGATTTTTTTATTTATTTGACAGAGAGAGACACAGCGAGAGAGGGAACACAAGCAGGGGGAGTGGGAGAGGGAGAAGCAGGCCTCCTGCCGAGCAGGGAGCCCGACGCGGGGCTCAATCCCAGGACCCCGGGATCATGACCCGAGCCGAAGGCAGATGCTCAACGACTGAGCCACCCAGGTGCCCGAACTTTATATGATTTTTATTTTCTTCTTGGAAACAGCTATATTCTCCAATTGTTTTATGTATACATACGTATAGGTGTATATATATATATGGACACACACACAAAATGAACTTTATAACCTCTAAAAACCAAAGTAAAGTAATTCTGGGAAAAACATATGAACCAGAAAACCAACCCTAAAAACTGGAAGGAACTTGGAAAAAGCAGGCTTGTGGTGGCCGCGGGACAGAGAGCGTAAAGGGAAAGTCAGCTCCTGGTTCCCAGACAAGGCAGCTGACAGCCCAAAGTGAACCTGAGCTATGTACGCTGACTTCTCCTCTAGTTCAAAATCCTTGGCCACGAGGCAGCACAGTCTGAGAAGAGGACAACACACAAAAAAGAAGCCCAAAGACAAACCAGAAAAGCCGCAGTACAAAGGCAACAAGCACTCTGGGTGGCGCAGGGCCGTGTGCATCAGATGGGCAGGGCGTGTGCATAAATGGGCAGGGCCGTGTGCATCAGATGGCCGCCAACGCCTCGAGTGGAGAGCCCGCCTCCCTGCAGGCAGCAGACAGACTATGGTTTCTTTCATGTGCTCCCCTCGTCCTGCCATCTGGATGCCTTGATTATTCCCCCGGTTCTTACCCTTGAGGAGATGCCTTTCAAAGCAACATACAAACGTGTTCACATGTTCCCTTATCCTATGCGAGTAAGCACACACCTCACAGACAAGGACCCATGATGCCCTGATACGCTTTCTGCCCCCAGAAGCTCTCAAGATCAACATGGAAAGAGAGAAACAAGATGAATACCGTGAGATCAGTGTCAATAGGGGCTGTCAACAGAGAAAGGATTACACCCGAGGCTGATGCAAAGCCCGGAGGCTTCCTGGAGGAGGCAGCACGTGGTGGTCTCTCTCTGCCTGTGCTCGTACTGAGCATGGTCTGGCGCTTGTTACACTCAGCAGGTTTGTAACTGACTCCCTCTAAACGTAACCAAAGTCTACAGTATTTCTGGCCTTATCAACATGGCTTGGTCCACACCTGATGGAAAAGGACAACCCTCAGGATCAGTGCACTTACAATGCCATGGGTTTGGGCCACCTTGTTGCATAAGTCAGGACGCCACTTTTGAAGAGCCAAATAGAAAGGATTTTTCAGGAGATCTTCATCATACAGAGCCATATGGACTTCAGATGGGGCAGAGAGTCTCCTGGGACAAGAGGAGAAAAAGCAGTAAATGACCACATTTAGATTTATATAACAAATAAAAATCCTGATCTGGCAATTTCTAAAAAGCATCTCTGACATGTATTACTCTACTCTACAGGAAATATCAAAGATAACCCACCAATTCCAAGATGACTTTTTTACTGGTTCATTGCAAAAATTATGTTCAGAAATCTTGTTCAGGGGCGCGTGGGAGGCTCAGTCAGTTAAGCATCTGCCTTCGACTCAGGTCATGATCCCAGGTCATGATCCCCACATGGGGCTCCCTACTCTGGCGGGGAGTCTGCTTCTCCCTCTCCACCTGCTCTTGCCCTGGCCCATGCGCGAGCACACACTCTCTCTCTCTCTCAAATAAATCTGAAAAAAATCTCGTCAAACTCCAAGTCATTGCAAAAAGTTAAAATGGCTATTTTATGCATATATTTTAGTGAAATACTTTAAGCATATAGAGAAATAGAGAGGGATAATGCAAACCTGTCACCCAGAACCACCCAATCTTCACATTTTACCATGTTTGCCTCAGACTTTCTTCTAAGAAGTAAAGTATATTGGAATAGACTGGAGGGGCGCCTGCGTGGCTCAGTCGGTTAAGCATCCAACAGTTAGTTTCAGCTCAGGTCGTGATCTCAGGGTCATGGGATCAAGCCCCACATAGGGCTCTCGATCAGTGCGGAGTCTGCTGGAGATTGTCTCCCTCCCCCTCTGCTCCTCCCCTGCTCATGCTCTCTCTAAAATAAATAAAATCTTAAAAAAAAAAAAATAGACTGGAATCCCCCTGTGCCCCTCTCTGATCCCCTAAATAACTCTCTGATCCTCTAAATTAAGGATTAGGACTTCAACATATGAATGGGGGGGGCACAAAAATTCAGTCCATAGCCTAAGCCAATTGTCCCATTATCCTTTTTTGAACAGCCTATCCCTTTTGCACTGGCCGATAATGCTACCTTTGCTACATTCTAAGTTCCCATATATGTGTGGCCTCTTTCTGAGCTCTATTTCAACAGTCCAGACCAGTGCCATCCAAAAGATATATGAGAAATGTAATTACACATACATTATGTATAATCACATATGTAATTTAAAATTTTCTAGTAGCCACATGAAAAAGCAAACAGGTGAAATTAATTTTAATATATTTATTCTAATCTATCCAAAATAGTATATTTTTAACATGTGATCAATATTTTAAAATTATTAATGACATATTTTACACTCTTTTTTACTCCTACTAAATCTTCAAAATTTGGTGTGTATTTTACACACTTTTCAATTCATACTAGCCACATTCAAGGGCTTAAAAGCCACATATGGCTAGTGGCTATTATACTGGACAGAGCAGGGCTAGACCACATTAGTTTACATGACTACAGCTTCATAATAAGCCTTGATATCTCATAAAGGCCTCCCTCCTTGTTCTCCAAAATTGTCTGGTTATTCTTATTTTTTGCAATATCCCATAAATTAAAATCAATTCCTCAATTCCATGAAAAATCCTTTTGGGATTTTTAGTAGAAATTCACTAAATTTTTGGATTGGAGAGTCAACATCTTGATAATAATGAATCTCATCATCCATGGACATGGTATGTCTTTCCATGTATGTCTTCTTTGATGTCCTCCAATTAAATTAAACAGATTATAAACAACTTTTATTAAACATTATTTGTATAGGGCGCCTGGGTGGCTCAGTCGTTAAGCGTCTGCCTTTGGCTCAGGTCATGATCCCAGAGTCCTGGGATCGAGTCCCACAGTGGGCTCCCTGCTCAGTGGAAAGCCTGCTTCTCCCTCTCCCACTCCCCCTGCTTGTGTTCCCTCTCTCGCTGTGTCTCTCTCTGTCAAATAAATGAATAAAATCTTAAAAAAATAAAAAAATAAACATTATTTGTATATTCTGTATAGATTTTCTCCTGTTGTGAATGGGGCTTCCATTGCCCCGGTCTGCTCCATTTACCATACATGAGTGTAGTTTCACTGAGCTATCAGAGAGGAATATGAAAAATGGGCACAGAAAAAGAATCTGAGCCTCCATCTCAAGTGGTGCAATGGAGAATATAAACACCTGTCTTGCAGGACTCCCATTTACATGCTGCCTTCAGTATTTTTGCCATACTGCATACTAATGGACCACCACTTACTGCTGGCCTACATGGTGTCTTTGTGAGAATTAGAAAAAGGCACCCAGTAGGTACAACAGTCCTGTGCCAGGGCACATGGCTTGGTAAGTAGCTCACAGGCTATTTATCAGCCCCAGCTTGCCAACATCTCACTCTCCTGGGCAGAGTACCTATGCAATAATCTGCGTAATTGTACACAAAGGCTCCACTGTTAGTATTTGACATATTCCTTTAAACACCTACTCTCTTTTCAAATTTATTTTTATTTTTATTTATTTTTTTAAAGGTTTTATTTATTTATTTGACAGAGAGAGACACAGCGAGAGAGGGAACACAAGCAGGGAGAGTGGGAGAGGGAGAAGCAGGCTTCCCGCGGAGCAGAGAGCCCGATGCGGGGCTCGATCCCAGGACGAGCCGAAGGCAGACGCTTAACGACTGAGCCACCCAGGCGCCCCCAAATTTATTTTTAAAAGAACCCTTATTACAAATTTAAATGTAAAAACAGTATACTCCAGGGTGCCTGGATGGCTCAGTTGGTTGAGCATCTGACTCTTGATTTGGGCTCAGGTCATGATCTCAATGCTGTGTGATAAAACCCTGTGTCAGGCTCCCTGCTCAGTGGGGAGTCTGCTTCTCCCTCTCCCCCCACTCGTGCTCTCTTTTTCTCTCTCTCTCTCTCTCTCAAATAAAAATCTTTTTTTAAATTTTTTTTTTTTTTTTTTGAGAGAATGAGATAGAGAGAGAGAGAGAGAGAGAGTTGGGTCAGAGGGAGAAGCAGACTCCCTGCCGAGCAGGGAGCCCGATGCGGGACTCGATCCCGGGACTCCAGGATCATGACCTGAGCCGAAGGCAGTCGCTTAACCAACTGAGCCACCCAGGCGCCCAATAAAAATCTTTTTTTAAAATTGCAAAAACAATGGACATTATGTAAAACCTTGCTAGATACTACTGACTGCCAAACATTCTAAGCTTGAGCCTGAGACCTCTTCTTAAAAAAGAGAAAACTAGATGGGGCACCTTGGTAGTACAGTCAGTTAAGAGTCCGTCTCTTGGTTTCGGCTCAGGATGTGATCTCAGGGTCGTGAGACTGAGCCCCACATCGTGCTCCACACTTAGTGCAGAGTCTGCTTGAGTTTCTTTCTCCCTCTCCCCCTGCTCCTTCCCCCCACACCTGTGGACTCTCTCTACCTCAAATAAATAAATAATAAAAATTTTTAAAAGAGAAAATTAGCAACTATTAAAGAGCATCAAGTAAACTTACCCTTGATACAATCAGATAAATGAAATATGAATAAAAACTGAATTACTTTCTTACTATGTAACAATATTCCAACATGCTTTCTTGGGAAAATGCCAGGACAACACATATAAGTAAGTACATTATGAATTCTGTTATGGCTAATGATAAAAACAGCCCTTATTTGAGATCACCTTTGGTTCAGGTACTGTGATAACTTCTATTCATCCTCATCCCACTTTAATGTTCATGATAACTATAGGCAACCAATTACAAACAATGCTCACAATACTATTGATATCATTAGCCCCATATTTTGCAGATGAAGAAACTGAGGCTCAGTTGGCCAACGTGAGGTTATACAGATGTCAGAATTTATTCTAACATCCGCCTCTTTAGCCACTACACCCACTGTGTAAAATAAATATGCCTGGGTTAAGGGTTATATCACAACCCACAGATGCACAGATTCCATACTTCATTTCCCCCAAAGGAAAAGTCACCATGACAGTCACATGGGCCCTACACTGAATTTCCTCGGTTTGGTCCAGCCAGAACTGTCTCTGCTGCAGGCCCTCCTGGGGACTGCCTCAAGGAGGCCCCTGAGCTCCCTGCAAATCCTGTTCGGGGAGGAGCCTAGCATGAAAAAGGCTACATATAATCTCTTCCTGGACCCCAGAGACAGCTCTACAACAATTCAGGTATTTGACTTGTTGAATTCAATTATTACTGCAGCCCAAATAATCCTTCTATGAGGCCCTAACCAGAACAACTGGATAATGTGATTTTGCTGGGACAGAGTCACAAGAAAACAAAATTGTTTCTGGTTTCTGACACAACTGGTTCTACATGAGAGAGTACAAAAGTAAAGACACCTTGGACAGAAACCGCTTGAGAGACAGGATGCCATACGGTCAGAATGAAACTGGGAAGGGACCCTCCTTCTGCTCCTCAGACAAGATGCCAGCAGAGCTCCAACCCCTCTACACCCAAGACAGAGGTGACAAGGACAGGCTCTGATGCAGGAAGTAACAACCTAGCTGGGAGGCAAGGAATGTGCATCCACAGAGTAAAACCAACCCAGAGCAGGGCTGGGACAGGTAAGGACCAGAGAAGGGAGCAAGCAGGGAAGGGGGCTGGGGTGGGGAACGGAGGAAGCAGGAACAGGTTCCTGTGGGCACAGAAAACCCAAGAGTAAAAATTTTTTTTTAATTGATGAGAAGATGAGTCCAGGGAAATAACAGGAATCCAAACAGTGCTGGTCAGAGAGGGACAGCAGGGTGAGGGGAGGCCCCTGAATGCCACATCAAAACATTCAGTTCAAAGGCATGAAACACACAAGACTCGGAGCAAGAGCTGCTAGTGAATGGGACAGAGCTTGCTGGGTTTCAGCCCCAAGTCATCCTGTTTTCTCTTGGACATATTCCTCTTGGTTGCCAATGACTGAACCCTCTGTCCAGGAGTAGGGATTCGAAGAGCGCTATCCAGTGCTTTTCTCAACCTTTTTGTCCCAGTGCTTAAAAACATATAAGAATCTGGGGCGCCTGGGTGGCTCAGTCGTTAAGCGTCTGCCTTCGGCTCAGGTCATGATCCCGGGGTCCTGGGATCGAGCCCTGCATCAGGCTCCCTGCTCGGCAGGAGGCCTGCTTCTCCCTCTCCCACTCCCCCTGCTTGTGTTCCTGCTCTCGCTATCTCTCTCTCTCTGTCAAATAAACAAATAAAATCTTTAAAAAAAAAAAACAAACATATAAGAATCTAATACAATCAGGTGCTTAATTCCAAAATGGAATTCTTAAATAGGGGGTAAATACTTAACACAGATTAACGCCCTCACAAGTTTTACTTGCAAGAATTCATTTTATATTTTAAAATAACATGAAAAGTAAACTGTTCCTTATAAAACTGGAAAGAGAAGTGAATCCTCTTATAAAACACCTTTTAAAAAAAATTCCACCCCTGCCTAAGCTCAAATGGTTGGATGATTTACAGCAAATCCAGGGAAATTAGTCAGAGATACCAAATACCCCCTGAACACGAGTTATCTGACATTAACTCCATGAACAGGAGAGCCAGGCAAGGTCTCAAACTAGTACCAGACATTTCATGGGGGTGGTGTGCACACTTGTGGTTTTGTGGTCTACAACCGTCCCATGAGGCTGGGCAGTCAGGTGTCCCCATCTGGTGACAGTGTGCAGCCTGGCTCAGCAGAATCCAGCATAGGAACGCCTGTGACTCCCAGAGATAAACTCCCAGCTGAAATCTCACTGCTATGGCTGTTCTCTCTTTGGTGAGGGCGCTCACCAAAGACCCACACCAGGCATATTTTCCAAAGGATGAGCATTATTCTCCAACTGGTTTAATTTGCGATGCAGAAGGGAAAGGCAAAAAAGGAACACTTTCTAATTCATCTATGTTTAATAGCAAATGGAAGCAACGGGATGATGTAATGTATGATATTGCAGTCACTTATGTCCTCCTGGCCTGTACCATTTATGGATCCTATCCATATTCTTCTCAAAGCTCTACTTCAAAGTGTCCAGTCTGTGCCTGGCCACGTGGCTCCCTGTAGGTACGCTGTAACTGTTCGTCCACTGGAACAAGATGATAGTGGGGTGTTAGAGGAAGCTCAAGCTCCCAGGGATGGGTCATCTCTCAGAGAAGCTGGAAATCCACTGCCCATATCCAGGGGAGGGTGAGGGGCTGACCCCAGGCAGCCATGCAGGCACCGGCAGAAAGCCAGAAACAAACTATATACTCAGAGCTGGCTATGACAGCTGGAATGTGGAGAGTCACAGAGGGAGGGAAGGCCTCAGAGCTGGAAGAGGGGTGTGACCACTAAGGGAGCAGGAGAGTTTGGAGGAGCACCACCACCCGTGGATTTGGGTCTGAATCCTTTCTAGATCTATCCTCACACGGTCACATTCCTCTGCTCCTCTAGGAGAGGATTGAGTTACCGAACACCAACCTAATCCTGGTAATTCATAAACAAAGGGAGAGACCCACAGAAACACTAACAGTGCAGATGTGTGAATAACAAAGACCCAGGAATTGCACTCATGAGCCCAACACAGTCCAAGAGCCACAAAGAGACACAATCAAGCCCTTGACCCCCAGGCCCTATGCAGACAGTACTGTTTGCTCTCCCAGTGAAGCTGCCCGGCAGGATGATTTCTGGTGGCAAGCCAGAGCCAGAAGAGCTCACCTAAGGGATCTGCTCAACTTCAGAGCCTCAACTGCTTTCCGGCCACTGAGGCTAGACATAGTATCTGTCCCTGCTCCCATCCTGCCCTTCTCCTTCAGAGGCCTCTGCCCTCCTGATCTTAACTCAGACTGGTCCACAGGAAAGATGGCAAAGCAACCTTTCCAACACTGAGGTCTACTACGGGGCAGGAGTCCCCCTATCCTGTTTTGCTTTCCAGTTTCACTTCTCCGTGGTCAACTGGGATCTGGAAACAATATCCGCCTTCTGACATATCGTCAGGAAGTCAATAGCAGCTAACATTACACTCAGTACCTATATCGTTCCCCTCACTTCATCTCATCACCGAGGCATTTAATCACCTCACATCATCACAAGAAGGACGAATACAGCACAAGATATTTTGAGAGAGAGAGAGAGAGAGAGACCACATTTACATAACTTTCATCACAGTATATTGTTAATAATTATTCTATTTTGTTAGTTATTTTTGTTAATTTCTTTCTGTGCCTACTTTATATATTGAACTTATCATAGGTATGTAGGTATAGGAAAAAAAACGGAGTATAGGGTTTGGTACTATCCGAGGTTTCCAGCATCCACTGGGGGTCTTGGAACACATCCCCCATGGACTAAAGGGGGGGGGCTACTACATTCTTCCAGGACTTCCCCTCCACTCCCTACTAAATGAACTCTCAATTTCTCTCCCTGGCATTAAGGGCCTTTCATTCTGGCCTGCCACCCATCTCTGTAGCTTCGTATCCTTCTGCTGTCCCTAAAGCTCCCCAAAGTGATGGGTTCTCCCTCCTTCTCTCTATTTTGTCTTGAAAACCACTCTTTCCCTGTCAAGGCCCCCATCTGGTCAGCGGGTGGCTAAGACCCTCCACCATGGAGAATGGCCAAGGCCAGGAGCGTCCAAGTCCTGGCCACAAATGGCCCCAAATCTATAAAGGACAGAGCGCAGAGCTAGAGGGAGCCCTGGGGCCCAGCGCTCTGGATCTTCTGAACCGCCTCAATACCATGCTGGGGAAGGTGGACTCAAAACGCTAATATCCCACTAAGATCCCCTGCTCTTCTCTGGGGCTGGTAGGAGGGTGAGTTAATCAAAATAAGGGTCTCTCCCCATGAAACCCATAAACCTGGAAAACCCCAGCTCGCATGCAAACTAGTAGACTCTCCAGTCTCAGGAGCCCCTCCTTCCCTGAATGTCCTAAATCCTCAATGAAGACGCGTCGTTTGCTCCGTGGCCCAGCACCGGCTGCTAGTGCCCAAGTCCCCAACATCTCCAGGGGCCATGCCAGCTCGCGCGCCTTGGGCAGTCTATGTTCAACGAAAAGAACTGAACAGATCTAGAGTCCGGAACATCTCTTGGTGCCTAAGTTTTCCTGGAGTAATTTTTACCCAGCAGAACGAAGAGCCCCAGCCCCTCAAGAGGCTGGCAGGCAGGGATTCCCTCCTCCCTCCCCTGCGCCTTCACCACCCCCAGGGACCACAAGGCCCCAGGCTCCAGACCCCCACCCACATCCTCCCCTTTCAGCGGCCCCGCCAGGCGGTCCGCAAACCACGGAGGTCACTCAGCTCTTGAACGATTGCCCCGCCCACTGCCCCCAAGTCCGAGCTCCCAGGACCCCGCACCCGCTGACCCGTCCTGTAGTCGCGGGGGTCAGAGGGCGCATTTTTCGCCACCCCGCACTCCAGGGGCAGAGAGAGCCCGGCTGCCGACAGGACCCGCAGAGCGCGGGCGGGGCGGTCCAGCCAGCGAGGAGCTAGGGTCTCGGGGGGCCGCCCAGGGGCAGCCAGCCCTGCCTGGGGGCGCCGCGGGTCGCTGGCTGCGAAGAGGAAAGAGCCCCTCCCCCTTCCAGCTCCGGGGCCCCGCCCGGCCTCTAGGCCCCGAGGCGCAGCCGTCCTGAGGGAAGGGAGGCACGGGGTGACACAGGAGCGAGGACACTTACTTAAAAGGCTACATAGTTTCACTCCCTGTCCTTTTCGGAGCCACAGCGACGCCTCCCGAACCCGGGACTCTCACCTCGGTGCCCACCACCCCAGCACAGCGGTTCTGCTCCACCGCCCACCTCTTTACTCCGCCGTTGGGCGGAGCCGCACCTGGTCAGCCCAATGAGCGGCCGTCCTTATCCAGAGTGACGTGTGCGCAGAGCAATCATTGAGTCCTCCCAGCCGGGGTGGGGCTCAGGCGGCGCACAGCGCTTCCTACTCAGGCCCGACCAGCCCTGAGTCGCCGACTGCGCGTGCCTGAAACGGGAGGGGGCGGGGCCGAAGCTGATCCGACACTAGAGGTGGGGTCCAAGCTTGGTCCCTGGAAAGCCGGCTGGATCCGGATGGGGAGACCCGGGAGCTGTCCTGCCCTGCGGATCGCCCTTTACTGCTAGGTTTGGAGGACGGAGGTGCCCAGTCCTATGAGGCACACCACTCCGTCGCTGGCAGGGTCTGGGAGTTAGGGTCCCTGGGTTCTGATTCCCTCACTTGCATGGACGTCGCGTGACCTAGGCCCCCCTTTTTTTTACCTGGGCCTCAGTTTCCCCATCTTTACGATACCGGAGGGTTGGAACTGCCAAGCGCTAGTATTCCAGCACTGTAATGGGGAGAGGAGCAGGGGGAGATGGGGAACCTACACGTGATCTCCCCGCGCGGGGCCCCGCCCATCCCTGGTCTAAGGGATGGAAGTGCCCTCCGAGGACAGGCGGGGGTGGGCGGATCCTAAGAAACCCGACCCAGCAGCCCTTGGCAGGGGCTAAGGCGGAGCGCGCGGCTCCGCGGCCGGCTAGCCCTGGCGACGGCACCTGAGAAGGATGGGGACCACAGCCCAGGCTTCGCAGAGAGCCACCTTGGAGGCGAGGGCGGTGCAGCAACTCGGCGTGTGACTCCGAGCGAATCGAGGGAGGATGGACGAGGGGATGAGAGATAGCTAACGGGGCTCCCTCTCTGCGTCCGGTCCGCAGAGGTGCACGTCGCAGGTCTCCAGAGGCTCCGTCGACAACAGCGGCAGCACCGAGCTAGTCTTGGGCCATGAGGAGCGCGCGGGCCGCCCGGCCCCGGGCCGCCGTCGGGGCTGACAGCGTCCTGCTGCGCTGAGGGTGTGGACCGCAGAGGGGCGCGGGCGGCCCGGCTGCGCCGGAGCGCACACCCATGGCGAGGGAGGAGTGCAAGGCACTGCTGGACGCTCTCAACAAGGCGACCGCATGCTACCACCACCTGGTGCTGACCGTCGGCGGCTCGGCGGACTCGCAGAACCTGCGCGAGGAGCTGCAGAAGACGCGCCAGAAGGCGCAGGAGCTGGCGGTGGCCACCCGCGCCCAGCTGACGGCCGCGCTGCGCGACCGGGGCCTGGGCGCCGAGGAGCGCGCCGAGTTCGAGCGCCTCTGGGTGGCCTTCTCCGGCTGCCTGGACCTGCTGGAAGCCGACATGCGGCGCGCACTGGCCCTGAGCACCGCGTTTCCGCTGCACGCGCCGCGGCGGCCGCTGGTGCGCACCGGTGTGGCGGGCGGCGCGGCGGGCGTAGCGGCGCGCGCCCTGAGCGCCCGCAGCTTGCGACACGAGGCGGAGGGCGACTTCGACGTGGACGACCTGCGCGAGCAGGAGCGCGAGATCCTTCAGGTGAGCGAGATGATCCGCGACATGGAGATGAAGGTCAACGTGCCCCGCTGGACGGTGCAGGCCCGGCAAACGGCGGGCGCCGAGCTCCTGTCCAGCGCCGGCGCCTGCTCGGTGGGCGCCGTGTCCGTCCAGGAGCGCACGGGGCCCTGCGACCCGAGCAAGGCCCTGGCCGCCACCGTTTTCAGCGCCGTGCTGCTGGCGGCTGTGGCCCTGGCCGTCTGCGTGGCGAAGCTGAGCTGATCGGCACACGACTTTTCCTGCCACTACCAATCCCTCCCCGGAGACATCCCTCGGGAACGACGGCAATCGCCTGGACTCGGGATGGGAGTGGGATCTGGCACGTTTAAGGGAAGGGGTTCTAAAACCGTGTGTGTGTGTGTGTGTGTGTACATGGTTTCCTCTTGCTGGCCCGGGAGGAATTAGTTTTGCGCGGGCAGCCAGAGCATTACCGCTAATGTATGCAGCAGCTTTATCCCCTATTAATAGAAAACCGTCCACAGTGACCCCAGATTCCTCTGAGTTAATGGGTGACCATGTGTGCTGCTGGGGCGTGTTTACACGGAGTCTGAGTTTGGTGCCCCCACCCCTACCAGCGATCCCCACTCTCCGCATGGGGCAGTTTGAAAGGGGGGTGAGGTGAAGTGAAGTCGGGGGAGGGGAGTTGTTTAGCTCTGTGTGGGTGGTGATTTTGCTTCCTGGACAATACTGTAAGAACATGTAAGCAGGTTTTATTACCTTAATCCTTTTGAGCCTAAACTTAGGACAGTGTGCAAAGAGAAGTCTGTGCAAAGTGCTTTCTCCATGGCGCACCATTGAGCTTCTTGGCAGAGTTTATCCATTAGTTCCGAAAAGCAGCTAGAAGAGGTTTGGGTTTGGGGTTTGGTAGCCTCCCCCACAAGTGCTGACCCTACTTAGGAAACCAGAGAAGACACGTCGAACCCGCCCCCACGGGCTTGGATCCACTGCACCCACTTGCCTATTGAAAAGGGGTCCCCCCGGGGTAAGCCTGGAAGGCGCACAAGCTTTGGGAAGGGACATATGCTATTCAAACAGGCACTCTCTCCTTTGCCGGGGCTTATTTTTGTTCCAGAACTAGACCAGAGTTTTTGATCCTCCCTTGGGGGAGGGCTGCAGAATCCTCTTTGGAGCCCTTAATCCTATCTATCCCTTGGAATTTGCCTGCTGGTCAGTAGGAGAGCTGGCTTTGGAGGAAGCTGCCCAGCCCCCTGACCCTCACACTGACCCCTGAGAAGGTAAACCTCACTGCTGCATGCCGTTGGAACTGATTAGCCCTGAGACTGGGTTAGAAGGCAACAGCTTCCACTCGAAAATTTCAGCAACGTTTTAAAAACAAGATCATTGAGAAAGAAAAACCATATAACCATATGATGCCCTATCAAAGCCGGTTTTTTATAGAGGACATTTGGCCACAAAATCATACATGCCAATGAGTCAAACACCGTGGTCTTTACTTACAAACTTAAGTTAATAAATATACATCTATTATTAAAATAGACCTTCTTGAAGGCAGGAGGTCGTAGCATAAACTACTGGAACCACAGCGTACATAACAGAGGTTGAGTGACCCCTACTTCTTTTGCTCAGTAAATAAAGAAGGTGGAAACCCCTGGGTCCCAGGCTGAGCAGAGCCACCACTTGCCACCTGTAGTGCAGAGAGAACATAGTTGGGGAAATAAGGCTGAGAAAACACATACATTTAACTCTCAAAAGGTAATTAGGAATAAAACCCAGAGACTTTGGCTGAAAACTGACAAGGATTTTTTTTTTTCTTTTTTACCCTGAAAGTGGGAAAGAGGACCAGGAGGAGGGAAATGACAGTTTCACAAAGGCAGCTTGGAGGGCCACGGGGTAGGGGCAGATAGCAGGAGTGCAGCCTTGGCTTCAGCCCTGAGGGCCACCTTTCCAGCCCAGCTTACTCCCCCTCCTCCTCAGCACACAGATTCCAGTACCTCATAGTGAAAATATGGGATCTGTGTATGTGTGTGTGTGTGTGTGTGTGTGTGTGTGTGATAATGGTTTAAAAATATCCACAAGGTCTTAAGCCGATTAAAAGTTTTATGACCTTAACTAATAAAAGAAACACCTCTGGCCTCATCTGAATAGGGGCCACTTCAAATTCTTTTGTACATGCACACTCAGGGTAACTTCACAGATGACACAAAATTTTTCTAACTCCCCTCATCCCCTCATCCCCCTCCCATATACAACACAATACAGAATCTCTGTTCCCTTCCCCAAAGTCTCAGCTCTCCCAGACAAGAGGAGGCTGGGCATTTTGTGACCCGATGTTGGCAACTGTCCTTTAATACCACACCCTAAATATATTCTCCTGTTTCTAATACAGTGACTCTTCTGTTCTTATCAAGTTGTTTTGGTTCAGAACGACGACAAAAAGTTGTTCAGCAGAACCTACTGAAGAAAAAACCCATCCAATGTTGTGTAATCCAGAGAGCAGTTGGGACAAATGTCTTTCTTGTCACCCTTTCCACCCACTTGGCAAATCCTTGGGTATTTATTTATATGTGCAATCAGATGTGTACCTAATTCCAAGAGTCCTCTGCTCACAGAAATTAGGTATAAAATGTTGCACCCCCCCCACACAAAAAAGCTGAATTACAATGAACATTTTTATCCTGTGGACTTGTTAACCTGAACAACTCTGTGTTTAAAAGTTTTAAGCATTAGGAATATTCGGTATTATTTGGAGTTCTAACATTGTCTACTAGAACTTTCGCTATGTGACGCATGCAGAATCACTTTCTGCTTGAGCAATAAGCTGCTGTCACTATGCTCTCATTTCTATGTATATAATTAAAGACATTGCTTTCTGATAGAAGCCTGATTCTATGTAGGTGTTTAATATCAAAGTCATTAATTTTCTAAAAACATTTGGTATGATTTTATACCATGATACAAGCATAGGGAAAAAATTCAAAATGTTTAAAATAGGGTATATGTGATGAGGTCAACGTTAGGGTCCATGGCAAAAAAAAACCATCTAATTTCCCAAATTAAAGATACAAGTTGGGGCGCCTGGGTGGCTCAGTTGGTTAAGCGACTGCCTTCGGCTCAGGTCATGATCCTGGAGTCCCGGGATCGAGTCCCGCATCGGACTCCCTGCTCTGCGGGGAGTCTGCTTCTCCCTCTGACCCTCTTCCCTCTCATGCTCTCTATCTCTCATTCTCTCTCTCTCTCTCAAATAAATAAATAAAATCTTTAAAAAAAATAAATAAATAAAGATACAAGTTGAAGGATAGATCTTTATATCCAAAGTTAAATGCTATGATAAGCATTTGTTGTAAAGAGAAAATATTCCTGACTTCTCTTCTGGGAAAAACAGTACTGTTTTATCTGATTTGGAGAAGACAGGCAATTGGAATGTCAAAGCACTTATGGAAACTTTGAACTATTGCTAGTAGTAGAAAAAAACCAAAACACTAATGTTTGTAGGAGAGAAAAAAAATGCCTGGCAAATACATTTTTTGTGTGCTCAAAGAACTTAATGCTTTTAAATGCTGCAAGGGAAAGATTTTTGGTAAGGAAAATTAGAGCATAACCTGCATGATTTACTTTAAGGTTTACAGTAAACTACATAAGACGTGTGTGATGTCAAATGACAAGTAGTTTTGGTTAAAGAGCGTTTTGGTTTGCGTGAGGATCCTGATGATGCTGCATTTTCCGTGTCAACCTTGACATTGATACATTTTTAGCTACTCCGTTGCTTTTCAGATATAGCTCTCCCTTCTGTAATGAATGCTTGTTAAGGGTGTGAGCCCTGACATGTGAGCCTGTATGTCAGCCTGAGAAGAACTTGAGACTCTCCTCTGTCTTCCTTTGGGGAATGCCTCCTCCCTCAAGGCCAGATGAGCTATGATGGACAGGAGCTCTGCCTCTCTCTCCAAGTACCTCAGAGAAGTCATTGACCCTGTGCCTGGGTTCCCTCCTTGGTGAAATGGGGGGAGCCCTGACCGATGGACTCAAAGGTTCCTTCCAGAGTTTAAAACATTTAACAGAATGCAGTTAAATGAGAAAGGATTATTCCAGTTTGGGGGTTTTGGGTTGTTACTGTTAGTTTGGGTACATATGGAAATGAAATGTTACAGTTTGATGGTTATTATCTAAAATTCCATATAAAGTTTTAAAAAAAATCAGAATGAACTGAGCTATGATTTTAGTCCGTATCAGAATTAGTGTTTAAAAGCAAATTTGTATAAATGCTACTTATTTATAGTATTTAAATTAGATTAGGAATTTAAATTCAAACTGTAAGTCTGAGTCCGAGAAAGACTACTATTGATTAAATAGTTGGTTTTACCCAGCAATCGGGCCACCTAAACTGATTCTGGGAAATTACAGATGTGAAACTCTGTCATTTATCATGGAGACTGGGAAAATCCTATTTTGTAAGTAACCTGGAGCCCTCAGAACTATGACCGCATTGGCTGCCTGATGTCAGGAAACATGAGCACAGCATGGGGGATTTTGTACGTGGCATCAGATCCAAAGTGGAATTAAAGGCTTCATGTCAACTGTTTATCTGAAATTGTTTATTAAATAAAAAAATCAAAGATAACATGCAGCATTTGTAACTTGGCTGGAAAGGCACCCTCAAATAATTCAGCTATCAACTCTTGTGATTTAAATATATATATATTCTTAATATTCTTTATGCCCATCTGAAGTGAAGGTCCTGATCAACATTGTTACCCTTCGGGGCGCCTGGGTGGCTTAGTCGTTAAGCGTCTGCCTTCGGCTCAGGTCATGATCCTGGAGTCCTGGGATCGAGCCCCGCATCGAGCCCCGCATCAGGCTCCCTGCTCAGCGGGAAGCCTGCTTCTCCCTCTCCCACTCCCCCTGCTTGTGTACCTCCTCTCGCTGTGTTTCTGTCAAATAAATAAAATCTTTAAAAAAAAAAACATTGTTACCCTTCACAGATTTCATTACATAAAAAGATGTTCAGAAATACTCCAGGATTATGAATCTCCAAGTGCTTCTGTAAAGTGTGATTATACTCATCTTGTAATGCAGGACAGAATCAGGAAGAACAGTAGGTCTCCACATGAACAATCTTTGGCTGTGGTCCACACAGATCAAAGTCATATTCAAATACTATTTCTTTGGCTCTTAAGAACTGACCAGAGGTACAGGAACCGACCACATGCTGCAGCCCTGTGTCCTCAGGGACAAGATGGATTTCTCGAAAAGCATTCCCCCCCCTT